CATTGCACGGGCAATAGACTAGTGTTATGAAAAGAGTGAATAAAAGTCAATAGGAAAACAATGTTAGAACAATGTTATCCTAATTATTCACAGTTGTACACTGTTTCCTAAATTAGGAAAACCGTATTTTTTCCTACTTGTTCTTGTCTGGAGATTAAAATTAGATTTTTAGTTGATTGTGATAGAAGTTTTTGAAATGTGTGGTTGAAAAGTTGTAGAACCCATAAAAGATGTATTTGATATTGATTGTTTGACTTTAATTTAGATTAAAATCATATTTTAATCCGGATCAAACATGGGCCTAATCAAATATGTGAAGTTGTGTGATGATTGTTCTATTTTGGTTTTTAGGCAGAGCGAGAAATTGTGCATTTGTTGGTTTTAAGAATGAAGCTTTGGCTTGTCAAGTTCAAAAACAGTTACATTTGTTTGTCTTTCTACATCATCTTATGTTAATCTACCATTCATTGTACAAGTATGGTAGCATCTATACGAAAGCCCTCTATCATGATTTTCTAAAAGAAAATATGTTATGTTGGGTTACAATTTCTGGGGAAAGTTGTCAGTCGAGAGAGCCAGAGAATTAATCGAGGAAAGGAAGCATCAAGAACGAGCACTCCTAACAAGGATGGACATTGTTTTGACGAACAAGGCTACCTTTGAGACAGATTTCAGTGACAGTTCTAGAAGGGATTCTACTCATACTAGAGAACCCATTTTGCAAACGCTTGGTGTGGAGTATCCATTTCCTCCTCACCTAGACTATGTTTCACTTTCTACACGTATGGGCTCTTTCATTTTTGCTGTTCTTTAGTCTGTCATCTTCGTACAGTAGATTATTGTCCATCATTGAGGAATTCCCTTTTTAACTATTTCTTTTGTTTCTAGTTCTTGAATGTTAATGTATGCTTACACGAGATCTTGCATCAATATTTTTAGTGGATCTTTATAGTATTGTCTAACTTAGTAATCTGCTTCCAAAACAGATATGCTTACCCCTCACCTGATGGAAATATTTTGAACAACACTGTGAATGCTCTTATGGTCACATGTTGTCTAGAACACTTGATTTTCGTAAATTTTTTTTTATATTTATTCACATGTATCGTGGCCAGATATGTATAACACTTTTAGATTGATTTCCTTTCATTGATTGATGGATGTGGGTTTTGCACTTGATGAACAAAATGAAAATTCCAGCTCCATTTCATATTGCACTGCCCACTCCACCTCTACCAGTTCAAAGCCAGTTCCACCTCCACCACCATGCACCACCTCCACCTCCTCCACTAGCTACAAAGACTGACGTTGAAGATCAATCAAGTAGCGAGTCGGAAATGGAGTCTTCAGATGAGGCAATCCTTTGGCCGTTGTGTATGATCTCATTTACTTGTTATTTTGGCGTTTGATGCAAAGCCATAAGTGTTGAGCCGAATGTGCAATTTAAAAGAAGCATTGAATGAAAATTCCATCGGGGTTTTACTGACTAAGATCTTCATATCGTTTGCCTAAAGGTTGCCCTCTCGTCTCAGTGTATTGTTATTAATAGCTTATAACAAGTGTCCCTGCGCACCCATAAATTTGGCTTATTACAGCTCTAAGTTCTCTTGTTTCTTTGTGCCTTAAATGACTGATTTTTGTGCATGGTTCTCACATTATGGTGTCTCATGCTCCTTTGAACCTTCAATTAACTGATACATTTGATATTCTGGTAGATTCCAGAGTTTTTTATATAATAGATACCTGTCTCCTTTGGCATTTCTGAGGGCCGTACTGTATTGGTGCTTGCCAATTCTTCTTAATTTGGTTCATTAGAGAATGTTTTGTCCATTTTAACCTTCGAATATAAGTTGTTTGGATTTTGCAGACATTTGCCGCCTCATTGATTTCCGTTGGTTCTGTCTCCTTTTCGTTTTTATTACCTTTTTTCATCATTCAATTTTTGTACATTCTTTTTAATTTGTGATGAATATTTTCTTGCCTTCACATATTGAAAAATCATTGAGCAGATCCCAACTTCGTAATTTTACTGTTATTTAGAAAGAACGAGGAGAAGTTGGACCTAAAAGGAAGCATGTGAAGCAACAAGCTATTTTAGGTCCTGCAGTTGACAAGTATGTGGCTAATGATGCTGTTGGATTGAAACCAGCTGCCTTAATTCCGAAAGAAAAACCAATAGTAAAGAAGAACTCTATACTACATGTGTTAGCATCAACCTTTGAGAGACTACGGTAAGATGATCTTTGCCTTTTGAAAGGATGTAATGTTATGGGTTGGTGAATATGTTTGCAGATAAAAATAGCACCAAAACAGGTTCAAACTGAATCAAGGGACACTGGTGCCACATGGGAATTGCCAGAGCCTGACAAAGAGGCGTGATTATAAACCTGATGCAACCTTGGAGGAACTAAATCTCGGAAAATTGCCCCCGGAGGAACTTTTATCACTTCCAATGTTTAAGGTATCGAACTCATTTCTTTGTCGTGTCAATTATTTCAGCAAAGAAACCAATATACATATATGAACTATCCTTAAGTTTTTTCTTATTTATACATGTATAGATCAATGTTTTGTTCAATTGGCAACATGAATATGAAATTGTGTTTACTACTTTACGACATTAAGTCGAATACGAAATTGTGTTTACTACTTTACGACATTAAGTCTCTTTTATGAGTTTGTATTTGTATTTGACAAGAATGTCTAATTTCTGAAAGAAAAGTTTCGATTTAATTGTGTGTAGGATCCTATAACCTGTTATGGAAACTAGTGCTGCACGAGTATTAGGATTTAATATTTATTACTTATATATGGTCTATGTGACGAGGGGGAAAATTATATTTTAACAAAAACGGTGTATATAACATTCCATGCAAAGATTATGATGTGAACTGCATAACTTGTGTAGTTTTCTTTTCCGTATTATTGGTGGGGACAGAGAAGGGAAAATGTTCTTGTTTTTAGATGCACGTCCGAAAATTATTAATTTCTGGATGGTGGATCATCTGAGTGTATATATGATGTTTCTATCTTTTGACTTTGTTTTATTTTCTAACCTCCTCAGTTGTATGCAGAATTATGCTACTGGAAATCCTGCTTCTGTTTTGTACATAAAGAACTTAGCAAAGGATGTTGCTGTTGATGACTTCTAGTTTATTTTTGGTGAGTTTTAACTTTCATTCTCCTTCAGTTCTATTTATTTACCCTTTTATTTTTGTAGCAATCATTCTGCATCATAGCTATCATATTGAAAAAAAAAGAACCCTTTTGCTTTTACACTGCACATATAATGTATGCTCGTTGCAAAGACTTTTTGCTTTAGTTATCTTACCATGACTTTCTACAGGATCAATTTTTGGGAGCATTGACGCAGCCAAATCCAATCTCGGTGTGAAATTAATGCAGGTTGGATATCTTGATTTTCTACTAGCTCATTTACACTGTAAAATCGAAAGATTTATTTGTATATCACTATCTAACATCTTATAACATTCCTACATCTATCTTTGAATTAGTGCTGGAATGTAGACCACATTCTAGTATATTTTGCATACTTTGCTACGCAGTGCACGATTAGGAGTCCTTGACTGTATGATTCATGATTTACACCTGTTTGCACGAAATTGATGCTCAAGATTTTACTTTTGAGAATCATCCAAAATATTCTTATCAATAGTTGTAGTGACATATTGTAATGCCGCACCTTCAACTGTAGGAAGGGAGAATTAGGGGCCAAGCTTTTGTTACATTCCCATCAGTTGAACTTGCTCATAATGCTTTGGTATTTTTCCCCACGATGCTTTCTAAGATATTTAGCCCATGTTTGATTCCCATTACTTCAAAACTCATTTTTTCACAAACTCATTTTCAGTTACACATTCTTAAATTAAATATTTTGTACGTAAACCCAAAAATTTTACATACTTTTTAACCATAGTCTCCAAAATTCACTATTATAAAACTCATTTTGATGAAATAACAAGCATCAAACACAGGCTTATTTCCTTACCTTTCGGATTTTTTAGAATGTTGATGTTGGGTATTATTCTATAGCATTCATTCGGATTAGCTTATTTTTAATCACATGCTTAAACTTCGTAATCTGTAGTTACATTATATATGCATTATATGATTATAATCAACTGCAGAATGCAGTGAATGGTTATGTATTTAAAGGCTAGCCTATTGTCCTCCAGTTTGGCAGGAGCACTGCAGCTGCTAAAGCAAATCAAACGGAGAAGTAGTAACTGTCTACAGAAGGAACTCAATGCCGAAAACTTCTATAACTGTTCTATGGTTTTCTTAGTGAGCTAATGCATTAACAGATCCATCACACTGGCAATTATTCGAGCTGCATCTTGATTATATTGGTGGATATATTCTCGAATACTGCTCCAAGAGGCCATGCACCCTTGATTGGTGGAAAATTCATGGTCTATTGCTGCGTCATTGCTATCCAGTTCTTAATGAAGTTTGAAATACAATTTTATACTATGTTGCTTGGAGTTGGGTCTGTATAGTGGGGGACATGTACTCTTGTTTGTTCGTGTCAATTAAGGTGTGCTTTTTTGGCAGCTTCACCCTCCATGCTTCCAAAATGATCACTTTTTATAAGCACGCCCAAACATGCTCTAAGAGTGTGTTGGGTTGTATCTCGATTGATCACTAGTCATGCTCTCTTATAACTCTCTCCTGACATGCTATGTTACAATGTGGTCTAATTCAGCCCTTGTCCGTCTACCATTATTTTTAAACTCTTTTTTTGTCGATTTCATTTTTAATCATATATTCTTACAATAAAATATTTTGCACGTAAATTCAGAAGTTTTTTTTCCCTTTCAATCACATATTTTTCAAAAATTCACTATTTTAAAACTCATTTTCTACTTTAATGGTAGGCTAACAGGGCTTCAGTATGTTTATGAGCAATTTTTTTTCGTTTAAAAAGGTCTTATTCTGTCCTGTGAACACTGTTTTGTGCTAAAAATGAAATAGGAACATTTTTAGCTAAGCTTTAAAGTAACCTCTAATTTACCTTTTGTAAAAGTAGCCCTGTATGGTTTAGATAAAAATCAGATTCGTAGTAAATTTTGATAAAAGTTAGAATGTGTGATTGAAAATTTGCAAGTTCGATAATGAAAATTAATTGTTGACTTTCACTTAGAATTTAATCAGATTTTTTAAATAAACCAAATAGGGATGTTGCAATTGCTTTCCTCTAGTAGTATTCCTACTATTGTTCCTCCTTGTCCTCCTCTCGACCGCGGCTCAAAAGATTCCCGAGCAGCCATGGGGATGTGAAGGAAGCACGAGGAAAGTCGTTCTCCTCTCGGCCGCTTCTCAAAAGATCTTTGAGCAGCCATGGACGCGAAAAAATTAAAAAAATCATGTTTGACAAAATTACCAAGGGAGATTATTTTTCATGTCCTCTCTTCTTCTACTTCAAGAATCAATTAACACACAAATATACGTATCCGAGTACTGCAAAATTAATCCTAATCACACGAGGCTACATACAATAAACTTGTTTTATTCAATGCAAGACAAGTGTAGTGACTATTATATATGTATTGTGTGTCTAATCTTCCACCACAAAATAATACCACTAAACCCTAGCTAGATATTAAGGACTTGACATAATTTCTTCAAAGTCCTAACCTTAAATCCAATTCCAGACCTGCAGAATAAAAGAAAGTAGATGAAGAGACATCCTCTTCATGAATTGGTACACGGGCCGGGGCTGAAGCAGGCAAATTCAAGTTTAAATCCAAATCCAAACCACAATTAGCCTCCTCGGGTTCAGCAGGGTAGAGTCCTAAACCTGATGTTGCTTCTTCTGATAGTTTCTCCCAATGACACCTTTTGTGCCCACCTAGGGCTTGACCTGTTGAAAAAACCCTTAAACAAATACTGCATTTGTGACCCATCACATCTATTGATTGATCAACATGGCTTCCATTGTTAATCCATTCTTGTTCTTGTTCTTGTTCTTCCTCTCCGATCTCGACATTCTTGTGAATTGCATAACAACCTTTGACATTCTTGTGGCTTGCTCTGTGACCACCTAATGCCTGGTGAGAGCCAAACACTTTCTTACAACTCGAACACTCGAATCGAAAATCCTCAACCCCAACAACACCACCACCACTATCAGATTCCAATATTCCGGTACTACAAACATTAGTCACAGATGGTGAGTCAGAAAATGCAGCAGTAGAACTACCCCCATTAGCCAACATCAGTAGGCAAGAAGCCACCTCATGATCCTCCTCCGTCACACCAGAGGCGGTGGCTTCCCGATCAGTTCTGACGGCAGCGGTGGGGGTTTCAAACAGCCGGAAGTTGGGCGGCGGGTTAATCCCGCGCCACTGGCGCTCAGGGTGGCACCGCATGTGCCCAAAAAGGGCCTTCCAAGACCAGAACTTCTTGCCGCACTCACTGCACGGCCTTGTGATCTTTGGAGCACTGGGGTCTGGTTTCTTCGAACATTTAGGCTTTGTGACGCCAAGAGAATTATCGATTCTGATAAAGTTGGTACGCTTCTTTCTGGGATTCTGATGGCGGTTTAAACCGTAAAAACCGCTGCTAGGACTCTCGGATTCAATTCTAGGGCGAGTTTCTTGAACAGAAAACGACATTGATGCAGGCTGAAAATCTGAAGAATAAACGCAGTTGTTGATGTTCATCTCTTCGTGGGTTTGGGTGTAAGAGAAAAAAATTGAGTAAAAAAGTATAAGAAATTGGGCAGGGTTCTCTTATGTAGTAGAGTGAGCGGTTTCCACTGTAGAGAGAGCGGGTAGTTTTTATCAGTTATGAAGTTCTATCTTAATCTATGTATATATCTGAGAAAATGAAACGCATTTTTTTTATTGACTCTATATGTACTTGAAGAAGAAGAAGAGAGAAAAAACACTGCGGTTCAACGTATGTTACTGTACTATGATGTGTGTGTATATGTGTGGAGAGGGGTGAAGGGCGGG